TGGATAGTCGGTGTATTCTGTGATATGATGGATGAAGGAAAGAGGAGTTTTTAATTTCTTTCGAAGAAGAATACTGGATTGGAATAAACTTTGCACCGAGTTCAAGACAAAAAGCAGCAATTAGAGAGGAAAATTCGCGGCGAAAAGAAGGTGAAACGTGTGGTTCGTCGATAAAGCGTTAGACCTCGTGTATAGCCAGGAGCTGGTAAAAAATATTGAACCTTAGCTGAAACGTTCAACCTCGCTCTATTCACGGTCAGACTATCATTTATTCCGGTCTTTACAAAACTTTTTCCTATGACAAGGAACTGAATACCCTGCAAAAACTACTTCAAAGAAATGCCTGCTGAAAGAGCCGGAAAGTTTTTCAGAAAACCGATCATAAAGCTATCCAATAAACTATGAAAGCTCGTCAAAAGGAACGCTGCATTCGGCAAAATCTGCGTTCCTTAAAATTCCAAAAATCAAACCCTCGTACATTTACACCTAACCTAAACCTGAAATTCAAACGACACATTATCCTTCCACGATCGTATATTTCACAGTGAACGAAAAATAAAAGGATCTTCCCAAATTGTAATTTCGCAGGAAATTTTTAAATTCTTAAATTTCCCCAAAACTAAGCAAATATACATACGAACCTAGAACTCCCATAATTCTAAGAACTGAGTACTCCTGTGGACCTGATATTCTACCCTCGTCGAGATCTCTCTAAGAAGAAAATATTTCAGGGAAAATCCTTTTCAAATTTCGCCACGAGTTTCTCAAAAACAGCCCAAAATTATATGCGAATCTCAAACCTCCCAAAATCCTAGGAACTTGGTTTTCCTGTTCACTCAATATTCCACCCCCTTCATGATCTCTCTGAGAAGTAAAAATTTCAGTGAAAATCCTTCTCAAATTTGGCTATAAGTTTTCTAAAAACGATCCAAAAATATACGCGAACCTAGAATTCCCAAAAATCCTAAAAACTGGGTACTCCTGTGTACTCGATATTCCACCCCCACTAAGATCTCTCTAAGAAGGAAAATTTTCAAGGAAAATCCTTTTCAAATTTCGCCACGATTTTCCCCAAAAAACAACCCAAAAATGTACACGAACCTAAGACCCGAGTATTCCAGGGGACTCGATATTCCACTCTCGCTAAGATCTCTAAAAAGGAAATCTACGGTAAAAAGAAAGTGGAAAAAAAAAAGGAAAAGAGAGGAAAATCTGCAAGGGACGTAGTCGATGTGGCACGTACGACAAATTGCGCGTCGAGATCGATCGGTCGTCCCCCGTCGCTACAATTTCCATCTCCGTCGTGGTGCGAACAAGAGCGTTTACAACGATTTCAATTTACCCCCGGCGGGGGGTGGAAGCGATAGTCAAAGACGGATATTAATTTCTTTCGGTTGATTTATTAGCGGCGTGGGTGCCGGCCGACAATGAGCAAAAACGTTGGAATGGCCAGGTTGATGGCGCGTGTTGGTGGCGGTTGCAAGCTGAAAAAGCGAGGCGGAAGTGGAACTCTCGAAGCCGGGAACGAAGGCTAGATATTCATGGAATCGTGGTGGAAAAGTTTTCTCTCGCGATACACCGCTGCGCGGCACCCTCCGCGGATCCCATTTCCTTCTCGCGCCTCCGCCAGGATACGCTCGCATTTATATCTGTCTGGTTTCGTTGCCGTCGTAAACGACGTTCCGCGCCTCGAAATGTATTTTTCAACGAGCCAGCGCCGTGTCTCCGCCGATGCATCGGCTGTCGATGCTGATCGCGAACCGGAGGAATTGATGGAAAGGGCGGCCCGTTGCAGCGGGGAAATTGTTTCCTGTTAATTCGTTATCCGCGCTGGTTCTGCGCGCGGTGGTATCGCGCATCGTCTGATAACACGCTGACGTGTTCTACTGATCGATCTCGCGGAGCCACTGCCAGCGCTATATATTATATATGTACGTAAGTGTCATGGTATTAGATTGCGTGCTATGAAATTCGTTTCCTTGGTAATTTCGTCACGAAGGTGGTGTACTTTTTAGATCATACAATTTCCTATTATCCGTTCCTTTTACAGAGATGTTCGTGTTTTCGGTGGCTTCGTTTATTCTCCTTTTGGTCCATCTTGGAACTAGAGCTTTTCGGTGATATTTAAACAGGTAATCGCGTAGGTGGACAGGTATAGTTAGACGTGTATACTAACGTCCAATTTGTATACGTATGTAATTTATAATTGCGTACACGTACAGTTATCACATATTTGTGTATGCATAATTGTGTATACGTACAATTAGCTAAAATGTGGACCTAAGTATGGTATATACCGGTTGTTGCAGTGTTGAATGTATAATGAGCGGGCAGTGGAACTGTGGGAAAAATTAAGTCGGGAATGTGGCGTATAGATAACGATAATTATAACGTCAGCGTGAAAATAAATATATACGCGGTGTAGGTTTCTATCTGAATGAAAGGCGAAGGTAAATTTGCCGGGAAACAAACATAATTGCAGAAGTAATAATAGAAATACTTGCGTAATAACGATGAAAGGTAAAGTCGTGGGAAATTCTTTTATACCCAGTTTTCCAATTAAATTAAGTGAAAGAATTTTTCACTGTACACTGTCCAAACATTTGCCAGGATATTTTATTACGCAAATCTCTCGCAGACACGTGAAATTTCCAAAACCAAACGAATAACATCCGCGAATGGATTTGCAAGTCCCAATTGTCCGATGATTAACTCTCGCGTTTTACAAATCCTATTTCCCCATGCGGAAAATTAATACTTTTAAACATCGTATCGTTGGCGAGCACACAAAAGTTCACTGTTTACGCGTTTCGTATTTTTACTTCGTTTTTCCCGGCTGATTTATTGGAATATCTTATTGATTATCGTTATTATTCGCGTCTACCGATTCGCAGGTACCAGGAATAATTCCAGGTGCGTACGATTTTCATCATTCGTATCTGGAATCTGTCGATAAACATTAAATCCCATTCTACATGGAGCAGGAGGCGAAAGAGGGTAAAAAGGAATTTTAATTCGTCCATTTGCCAGAATTCCACGAGCGAATAAAAATCGCAGATCGGATCGCGTTCACGTTTCCATTACGCAACAATCTTTCTCCTGCTTTAATGCCTCCAAGTGCTCCAGCTTTGGAAATATTTTTCTCCTCTCCCGCTCGCGAATGGCGGAACGTTTTTCGAAACCCAAATAATTAGGAACGCTCCGTGCTTTGCCAGAGACACGGTAGTAAAACCGTTTTCCCCGGTCCAAAGATTATTCCGTTTCCAGCTCGTACGATCGTGAAAGGGCGAATTAAGGGACGCACAAATGGACGGAATCGGCGCTCGTTTAAGAAGATCGCAGTCGTCATAATTTATTCCCCATAAACTGAAACGCTTCGGCAAAGTACGTTCTCGTAATTGGCAGTACGATTAATTCATATTAACGTCATAATAAGGGAGAGTATGTACGGCCGAGACGAGCCAGAAAGGACGAATCGTTTTGCAGCATTCGCTGGTCCTTCCCCCCCTCCCTTTCTCCTCCTTGTTACGTCCCTGGTCCCCTTTCTTCAATTAGTCGCGTAAAAAGGTCCTCGGAAAGAAAGAACGGAAACACGATTTCGTCGTTTCCGGTTAAATCTGAAAAAGGGAATCTAATTTTGTTATAAAATTTCGGAAAATTGAGAAAATTCAAAGGGGTCTTTAAAAATTTGCAGTGAGTAGGAAATATCTTAATTTTGGTACATAGTTCTTCGCTTGGTATCGCTATACTAGTACTATACTAATTACTAGGTGCTACCACGTGAAGGTGGAGAAAATGGAGGTGGAGATTTACTGAACGATGATTTTGGTGTCGATATAGTAATTTCGATTAGGGATTCGTTGTTCAGGAAAATGAACGCTACAAGAATCACGATTAATGGATATTATAGGTTAGAGAAGAAATTACAGTTTGCTGGATCGTGTAATCCCTAATTAGTAATCATTGTTAATATCTTACGGCTACACGTAGGAAAATATATTTAATTATAAACAAATCGATATCGACAAAGCGTTTTAAGATTCCTGTGCATATAAAGTTCGCGAGGTACTTCAATTAACTAATAAAATATGTTGGTCGGTTGTATCGGAAGGGTACAGTCACGTTTCGAGAAGCATGCGCCGTGATTCCACGTTTTATCGACGAAAATTCACGCAAGTTACACGCAAACAGGCACGCCGTTCTCTGGGAAATTAAACTGCGATGATAAAGTAAATAGACAAGTTTATTTGAATTCGAATTTATTGGAATATTGTTTAATGACGATCAAAAAGGGGGGGATGTCGGTTTTTTTTCATTTTCCTTTTTTTCAGTTCGCTCGTCCTTATTGCATTAATTTCGTCTGGCAAAATTAATATTTGCACTTCGATACGCGTTTTTACCCAGGCAAATTCGGTTACCCTTCCCGGGTGCTTTGTGCATTAATTTCGAACGAAATGCTTACAAAAATCGCTGGAATAATTTATTCGGGTGATTTAAATACTCGATACACAGTGCAGGTTGATAAATGTATAATTAACCAGAATTATCTTGAAAGTTATCCGACTCTGGGATACGTAAATAAATATCCTTGTATTCTCGTACTATTGCAGCGTTAAGTGAACAATATTTACAACAATGTAGATCAGACCTGCGCAAGCTAAGCTTCGGAACTTGGAGAGCTTCTTCCACTCCACTTCCACCACCTCGACGCAAAGTTAGTTTTCATTTGTTTCTCGGGGGATGCATAGTGTTAGTGGCAGTATATAACAATGGAGAATGACGTTAGTCTCTTCCTAAATTATCCCTGTCTCTTACAAGTGACGATAATAGTGAAAGATAAAATAGCTTTAAGGACACCTTTAATCTCTCAAAATGATATTATCACGAATTTTCTATTGCAACGGAGAAATCGGGACAAGAAAAATGATCGCATCGAAAGTTATATAAGGATGTGAACACGGAATAGGTATTTGAAGGAAGTATTCTCTGTCACATTGCAGCAGCAGACACGAGCACGAACCAGCAGCCTCGCACGAACGCGACGGTTTTTACCACCCAAGCCGACAGTGCGTCGCAGATTTCCGGTAAAACGAGCTTTGCCGTGCCAGCGCCGCCTCCATTGGCCTCCGCGGAGAAAGTCCGCAGACTTTCGGATGGCGAACACTTCCGGCAGCCCAATGTCACCGTTTCCGGACACGCGACCGTGCAGAAGCAGCTGCAGGAAGCTCAGACTCAGGCTCAGGCGCAGGCGCTAGCCGACATGATCTTGAAGGTACTCATCTTTCTTGAATTCTTACACAGTATTGTGTTCCCTTTCGTTATTCGCGCTATTGAATTTCTACGGCAAAATTTACTAAAGCAAGAAATGGAATTTCTTATTTTCCAGGGCACCACCAAAATGGCCATGAAGAGAACGACTTCCGACCCCGGGCAGAGATTGCACTTGACCTATCAGACGTCGGTCCAGTCGACGACCAGTCAGCAGCAACAACAACAGCAACAACAGCAGCAGCAACAGCAGCAACAACAACAACAGCAGCAGCAGCAAAGTAATCAACCGCAAGCTCAGCCCGCGGTTACAGATAGTTTCTCAATGACAGGTTACTCCGAAGATGGTGGCTACTTCAGTCCTAGTCTTCAGGATGAAGTGTTCCAGCAGGTCACCGCAGTTCCTGACAGCGTTTTGCTTCATGCTACTCAATTGGACTCTCTTCAGGTAATTAGAGCGACGATAATTCCACCTCTGCAGAACTGTCGTATACCTGTACCCGCATGTACCCACCTGGAACCTCCTATCAGCTGTCAAAACACGTCTTCGGTGCATCATTGTCTACCAAACATCGTGTACGAGCAACCATCCAGCTCGCGACTTGCCTCCAAGGAAAAACTCGAAGCCGAGAGAAGCTGGAGCAACGTTCGCGAGTGTAGCGTAGGTGTTTTCGTCGCTCGTGCCAAGATAGAACATCCAGGAGCCTTTGACGGGCTAATTAGTCCCGACGTACCGTTCTTCGTTCCGCGTTAAGCGCCGAAAACGCTTTAGTTTCAATTACGCGACGGTGTAGGGGGTCGTCCCCTCTCCGGACGCAGAATTTAATAAGGCGAATTATCTAAGTAGTTGACGCCGACTGCACCAACGTTGGCAACGACAACGACGCCGCTTTGTGCCGTTTGAAAAGCACCGTATCCTCCCGTGTTCTCCACCTATCCGCCGGATATCTCGCCGACCCCTCTCTCCTCGTGTTCTGGTCCCCTCGCCAACGAGAAGTCTCGTTAACGTCCTGACCTACGGATACCGGGGATTCCAGCGTAATGGTTGCATCCGTCGGCGTGCCGCAGGAACGCCTTCATTCCGCCAACTTTTCACCCCATGTCCCCTGGCGAATTCAATTTTTGACGAGAGCTTCCAGGATGAGAATCGATATCGCTGATGGAGGCTCCGGGCGATGTGTCGACGCTGCAGATGTTTTTCCTGCGGTTTTCTCTATGGTTTCCCTGTTTCCGATGCTTTTCAAAAGATGGCGGTTCTCTTGGTTAAATATCGCGATGAAATTGAAGGTTGAAAATGACTTTGATCTGCTTTTATTTCATCGCTGAGCACTGTTTATCTAGTTGTCCGATCTTCTTTTCCTTCGTATTAATTTACATCCCCCTCGTGCGATTAATATCGTGTATATGTAAACGATGAAATAAATAAATAATCGAGTGCCAAACCGTGCAGTTTCAGACAGCAAGCCTCCTGCAAGAGCAACCAACTGAGCAGCTACAAGACATTACCCTGGAAGACCGCTATCCATCTCAGCACACGGTGAACCCTGACCTGCAGGCGTTGGTGAACTCTCCGTTACCAGACTCGTTGGCTGAATTCAGTACCTACGGTGCCCAATATACGGAAAGTCCTCACACGTTACCCACCCAGTCTCCTTTACCATCTCCTTTAACGAGACACGACAGTCCGAGCTTCACGTATCCAACGCCTCCAGCTAGCCAGGAGGGTCTCCTGACCGGGAGCTTCCCGCTATTGAGTCCTCAAGAGGACCCTGAAAGCGTTAGACAAGTCTCGTCGCCACTATCAGCGGCGTTCTACGCGACCACGATGTCATCCGCGGCGGCGGTGGAGGAAGCTCTGAGCGAAGTATTGCCAGGCGAATCCGAGGCAGACGCCGACCTCTACGGGTCCGGTTCACCCAATCCACACTCACCACTGCCAAGTCCACTGTCAGCGACACCAGCTCCATCGCCTTTGTCGTCTCTGCCGCCGTCCTCCGTTTCATCGCCGGGACCTGTCTCGTTCACAGGCACCAGTTTCCCTGTGTCGCCGCATCATGCTCTTCAGAACCAGATGATGCCCAACTCGGAGGATCCGCTGCTCTCGTCGACTCCCAAGGACTTCACGACAGCCAGCCGTAGGCGATTCGAGTTCCAATCCTACAAGTTCATCACGAGCCAAAACTTGGTGGACTTTGGTCTTGGTAACGGTAGCCTGGCTGGTATCGTGGTGGACAACAACGGTGAGTTCAAGCTGATACAGACGGCTGGACTACAGAAGACGAACGTTCTGGTGCAGACTGGCTCCCTGAGTCCAGCGTTGACGTTCAAGAAGGAGATGCGACTGGCTACGCCCAAAATGGAGCCTGTCACCGTGAACCTGGGTCTGAACGTTCAGACTAACCATCAGTACAACGCTGGCCAGTTCAACCAGCAACAAGTGGTGAACCCGACCAAGTTTCTCATACAGACCAACGTGAGTAAGAACAATAACATGAGGCAGAAGACAGCTAGTGGGAATCTGCCCATCCCGGTGGAGCAGATCAAGGAAGAGCTTCTGGACGAGGATGTCTTTCTTAATCCGAGTAACGTACCGACTGGCAGTCCTGTCAGACAGTGCAGAAAGAGGCCACGTATGGATGGAGGTTTATATGCTAATACGTCGCACTCGTACCCGTCGAGATTGAGGAAGGCTTGTGACCGACATTGGGACAGTAGCTACACGCCTCCACCGATTTTGGATCCTTCTCGTCCTGGGCCTGGCCTCTACGCCAGGCTGCACCAGTACGAGAGGGACTCCGACTTCAGCTCCGACGACTCGCAAGGCAACGATGGCCCTCCGCCTAGAATTAACATAGGCACGAGGTACCAGGCTACGATACCGCCGATCGGTAGCGATGGAGACAGAGGCAAAGGCGAGCCAGAGGCTGATCATCTGCTCTGGGATCCTGGTATAAATAACGTGCTGACGGATAACGAATGTAAGTGAATCTTTACACGCATTCTGGATTTGCTTTATCGACATTGTTGCGATAGGTTTGCAAACTTCGAGACTTTTGTTTTGTTACTTGTATTTGAGGTTTAACGTTGGTGAAGAAGTTTTCTCTATGGCTTGTACATACGCATATTTGAAAGCGAGAGAGGTTGGTTATATGGGATTTCGAGTGATTGTACAGCGTAAATCGAAACTTACATAGAAGATTATGGTAAAGCGTGTCTCTTGTAATATGTTATATATTATAAATATTGTATACACAGTGTTGTATTAGGGAATATTTATAATTTATAAGTTATGCACGAAGACGTAGATAATATCAAATAGCGTTAATGGATAAAATTGTGGCGTTATGGGAACGTAAATTTTGGGGTTTATTTATTTTTTATTTACCAGAATTTCAAAGAGATTCCAAGGTCACCGAAACTTTATTTCAAATGGAACAGTGTGGTTCGGAATATGCATAAACGTAATACAAGTTTCGACGAATTCAGTGACCTAAAAATTGCCACGACATGTTGTAATGTACGCGGAAAGTAAATAGAACCCAAAAAGTTGCCTTTCGCAAAATACTGCAACTTTGTCAATTAAAATATTTTTGTGTTATCTCTATCCGCGTGGATATCCGTTTCCGTGTATTTTTAATACCTCGTTCGCGGATCATTTTTAATTGGAAATTATGCCAACATATTTACACAGTTCGACAAACAAGCATTACCATATGAATTAAATGCAAAGTTTATTCCGCCAAGCTACTAATTTACATTCTAGCATTTGCAAATAAGACAACATCGTGTGATCGATCAATTAATAGAACTAATATAATTTCCCATATGAACCAATGTAACGTTAACTTCAAACACAAAATTGCGAGAGGAAAAATGGTCGAATTCGAACGGGAATAGGGTGAAAAGATAGAGGAAAGCGTATCCTTGAGAATGCATTTTGCCCCATGTCGATTTCCCCATCGGTCATAGTAACGTGTGACCTTAAAGCGCGACATTTGAATTACGCGATACGTTGAATCAATCGAAATTCCTCAACGTGGCCTACTTTTTTCTCTTGCAAACACACGCGCCGTGAGTAATAGCGATAGTAGTAAAAAATCGCTGACTGGGCGTCTGTCACTGACCACCGGATGAATAGGGAACTTGGGACAGGTCAGTGAAGACGTATGAGCGAGAGGTTCGATAGCTGGAGCGAGGCAGCGATAGTAAACGAGCATATCTCCGATACCGGAAGTCATATCGGCGCGATTCAAAGAGCATTTTAAAGAGCAGAACCCCGTCCTTTAACGATATTAAATTCAATTTTTCCCGTCGACACACGGAGACGTTACGCGGGATTGAAATTGAAACATTTCCACGCGCTTTGTTGTAATTAATATTAACCCCTTCGCTTAGAATATCGTGTGAGACACGTGGTAAGGATATCGGGTCGAACATAAGTATCACGGGCGAGACACGTGGTGAATTTTTGTCGATGATTTCCTGTCTTAATCGCGTGTTATTCTTCGCCGCGTTTAACCGTTTGAGTGCCACGGGTCATTATTGTTTCCCAATCGATATTTGCCAAGCGGCGCGATAGCGCTTGTCATATTCCGTGTCCAAAAACGCCGAGCGGCGCGATAGCGCTTCTCATATTCCGCGTTCACCAACCGAGCGCGCTGATTGTCAGCTTCGCAGGTCAGAGCGCTGGCACTTTTGGACACAAAATAGAAGAAGCGCGATCGCGCCGCTTGGTACTCAAACGGTTAAACGAAATGACTCCACGTGTGACTGACTCTGTTGTTGATTATGGCATAGGTATCGAAACTTTAATAATAGAACAGAGGGTTAATAATAGAAAATACGATAATTCGTAATTACAGCGATAATCGCAGGTTGAAAAATTGTACATTAACATTGGAACTATCGACGATATCAAAATTTGTATTTCCACAGTCGCTTTTGGGAAATTAATATCGATTTTTGTTAAAATAGGAGCACAATTACACGGTTTTTTTATTTTCGTTGTACGGTTTTAATTAATATCAATTGTGTACGGTACGTTTAAGCGCGCGTGACAGGTAGTTTTGATGTTAACATCGCGTTAATCAGAAAAAGCAAATTTGCCCGCGATGAAATTGAATTATCGCGCAGTCGTCGAAAGAAAGGAAAAATAGGAAATACGCTGAAAATGAATATTACGAGGGAAGAAAAAAGATGAACGACGATTAAAAATAATTATTTGACGAAATCGAGGAAAGTTTCGTCCTGTTCTCGATCAGGCAAATTGATCCCGATCGATCGACGTTTCGTAGTATTTTTATTCGACATAGCGCAGAATGCATCGAAGGAATAAGTAGATTACCCGGTGCATAAACGTAGATTGTAATAAAGCTCACGGGGCAATACGTGAAACGTTTGCAATGCCGCGATTGTCGTCGCGGTGCAAGCGCAAATTACATTTAGTTTACGCTTTCACGCGAGCGCGCGTTGTTCTCCGCGAATTGTGTCTGAAGCGAAAAAAAAAGGAAAGAAAAAACAAAACAGGAACTTTTGTTTTGCAGTGGAAATGTACCTACAATTTGCATGCTGCGCCGCGGTACCAGGTGGAGGAAGAAACAAAGAATACGCGCTTCATCTGCTGCACATGTGCAAAGGAAATATTCATGTACGATTCTTTGAGTTTAATTCCTTTATTCCCTTCTGTCCCCACGACCTCTGGATTTCTCTGCTCTTTCCTTAACACCAGCTGTATATGTTAATTGGAAAACAAAGGGGTCGAGACGAGAAGATGGCGTACTGTCATTACCTGTCATTTTTATTCCATTGTTCTGTCAAACGAACGTGTAAATATCGAATTTATCCAAGTATGCTATCTTTTGATTTGTGTACATATCGCGAAGCTATTTTCGTTGTCAGTATTCCGCCATCTTTGTTCTGGAAACGAGCTTGACCTCTAATTTACACGAATTTAGAGATAATTTGTGACTTTTGAATAATCTTGACTATCACTTCACTATCATGACACTGTGATCACTATTCGTATCCTTTATGCAATACTAATCCATTAACTGGGTTTACAGGTAGTACTCTTCTTCGTCCTCAACGAAGGTCAATAAGAATGACACTTTGTGTTTAACTCTTTGCGGCACAGGATTTCAGATAATAAAATAGTCCCATGTTACATAGAAATTTGATTGCCTTTTAAATGAAACAAAATTCGTATATTTTTACTAAGAAAGGAATCACATGATAAAAATAAAAACAAGAAAAATAATAATTTAATTAAATTTGTTGTTATAAAGTGGGACTTAAATAGTCCCACTGTTCCATGTTCAATGTTGTCAACATAAGCGAATACATTTATAACATTTGTCGAAGGTATTACCAACAACTTTACGTAAATAAGACGAAATATAAATCTATGCTATATATATATACTAAAAATGTCCCACCATGCATTACGGTGCATTAAAAAGGTGGGATACTTTTAACCCCAGCGTGTCCCAAGGAGTTAAATATATCACGATTAAATTGAACGTTTTCAAATATTCACTACGATTTAATTCGTTGTACACTGTGAAACAGAATTTTTCAATGTGGAGTCAGTTTGTCATCCCCAGTTAATGGGTTAAGGTTCAACCTAACGACCTAGTCTGTGACCTTAGACCTTCGAATGACCATGTGACAGTATCTTGATTTTTCAATTTCCATTTGTTCCTTGTAAATACGTTCTTCCAACAATATCTTCGTCTCCCAATGAGAACACAAACTGCACGAAGCTTGATCAATAATTTCCCAAGTACCTCACATGCTTAGTCTCTCAGAGTCACCAACGATCTCCATCTTCGGTATCTACCGAAAATGGTAGCCATTTGTAAAAAGATTCTTCATCCTTCACGGTACCTCCGTTACGAAACTTCATCCTTCGCGAAGTCCAGAGAATTTCTCATCTTCTCCGTTTCTGTGCGTCGCCAAATTTTCTAATTTTTCCTTCATACAATGTGAACGCGATTTATCGTCCATTTGCAGGAAGCGATGCTGAAGCTGATGAGACCAACGCCCCCGTTGCCAGCGGAACATCCGTTGTTGAGCTACGAGTGCCACGAGTCCGACCGATGGACGTCGCAGGAAATGGACGCATTCTATCAGGGCCTGCTGAAGTACAACAAGGACTTCTCTGCGATCTCGCGAGACGTGGGTGGCAAGTCCGCGAAACAATGCGTGCAATTCTATTATCTGTGGAAGAGGCTCTGCCCGGACGAGTACAGGAGACTCCGTGTTCGTCACGGTAAACCAAAGATTAAGACAGAGAGCAAGGATTGCAAGGACACCAGGGAGCTCCGCGACGCCATCGCGTCCGTCACGGAGATGGACTTTAGCGAAGACAAATCTATTCTTCATCGCACTCTGGTTAGTTCGCCTCGGGATCGCATTCCAAATCTTCGAGTACTCCTTTAGTCTATTTGGTTTCACATTGGTATTGATTTTGTCTGTCTTCGAACGTAGTTCGAATGTAAAATATTGTAACGAGGACAGTGCAAGTCCTTTAGATCATTGATTTAGTTGAAACTTTGCAGGTTTGTAGATTTAGTCATACAGTTCAAGAATATGTACCATTATAAAGACAACTATTCAATAGTTTTTGAGATATTTATGATTGAAGCTTTATTATTCTTAACTAGAGACTTGTTCCAAATTGTTATCAATAGTTATGAAGTGGTATTGTGGCCTAACGCCAACATCCGAAAATTGCTACCAGTGTGGGGATTTTTGGATATCGCCATTAGGCTAGAACTGTTAAAGGCGTTATAACGCAAAGGAATAGTAGTGAGTGGAAGACTGTGGAAAACTGTATAGATCTTTATTGAACGGGCGAATGGTTAGAACTAGCCTGTTTAGAGCCACGCAGGTCAAAAGTCGTCTTCAGAAGACTGGAGACAAAAGATAGAACGCAGGGGAAGGGATCATCCCCACACCGTTGGAATGTAGAGTTTACTTCACTATTGAATTTTACTATAACAATAACGACACTTGATAAATATTCGACATAAATCTGTAATTAAGGCAATAATAAAACTCTAATCATAAATGATATATTTTCTTGAACTGGACGACTAAATCTACAAACCTGCAAAGTTTCAACTAGATCTGTGATCCGAAGGACTTGCACTCTCCTTGAAGGATTAGTAATTTCTGATATTTAGTTTCTAATTTTTGTTCTTCCTTAATTTAAAAAATTTCAGGATACTGCCTATAGTTCCGGTTAGTGTGATTGTAAAATTTTGAAAAATCGTCGAATTTTGTTTAACGATCGTATCTACTTGTCAGAGAAAACAAAGTAATAGAAGTAACAGAGTATGTTAGCTGCTGAGTATAACTTAAATGTCACCGCTTCTTTTTCACTAGGACTATACGATGTAACATCGAACAGCCATTTTTCTCTCCTTTTTCAATCATTTTTTGGTAACCATAGAACGATCTGAATTTTTCAATGTAACAATCTAGACGATTATCGAGACTATTACTGTATCTTCCAACGAGCTTAGGTTCTCCAACTAACCAGTCGAGCTTCGAGTACGAATCGATCATCGATCAAGCCCACGACTCGCTCGTGGCTCGTGAAATGTGCTCGAGAAAATTCAAACCGGATGATCCGGAAGCGGGGAATTTATTTGAAATGAAATTAGATTCACGAGCAACAAGGAATCGATTCGTACCCGACACATACGTACAGCGCGTGACCACTCGACACGCGTAGTTGACATACGCGTGAACGTTTCTAAGTGTCGCATGTGACTTGTTGTTGGACCTGTCGTTTCTACTTTTCTCTCACGCTTTCTTCTCACAAGGTACGAGCGCGTTGTGCGTTGCGTGAAACCACCGTTTTGTGCGTTTACTTATCAATGTCCGTCGCCGTCGTCGTCGTCGTCGTCATCGTCGTCGTCGTCGTCGTCGTACGTCGTTGTTGTTTGTTTGTGTTGTTTATTTTGGCTTTGTGTTTCTTTGTGTTGTCAGAGCTTTAGCGGAAGTGTAACAGTAACGATGGCCGGGAGCACCCAAACCGCCCAAACCGGCAATACCGGCCACGCCACAGTCAACACCAACTCACAAACTCACACTAGTTCTGAGCAACAACTACCCGTGCCCACCCCACTTCACTACCCCTGCAAGATTTGCGGGAAGTAAGTCTCCAATCTCTAATCTAAACGAAACGAAACGAAACGAAAGAGAAAACGAAAGAGAGAGAAAGAAAGATAAAAAGATAAGCAAAAAAAAAATAAATAAATAAAAATAAAAAGAGTCCGTTCGAACAAATACTGACGGCCAGCCACTGACACAAGTGACTCGATTAACACGGTGGTTACGAGCGGCAAGTATCGGTGCAAGCACAAGTATAGAGAACACCTTGCTTTTTTTTAGAGAGAGAGAGAGAGAAAGACAGACCGAGAGAGAAAGAGAGCCTTCCTGCATACGTTACCTACTTTTTTTTACTGTTTTTTATTTTTTTTTATTTTTTTTTTTTTTTGTCGAATCACGTAGCGAATTAAACATGCCCGTCTTGTAGCTTCCAATTTCGGTTACATGTTGTATACTTTACGGAGGGTTCGTGAATAACAGGGATGTATTTTGCTCGTGACGGTATAATTGCTGAGAAAATTCTTTTGCGTTGAAAATTTTGTACAGAAGACCTCTGCATGGCATTATTTTTGTGCCGCGAAGTGCGAATTTTTGTATTGAAAAATTTTACGATGGGATATGTATATTTGCTGTCTCTATTTGAGATATATATATCGTTTCAAGTATCGACTCGAGAAATGTTTAAATTCTTTTGTTATTGTATTATATTGTAAATATCGAAGTTACTGTTTCTTTGACGAAGAGAAGAAGGAAGAATGCAAATTGAGAAGACTGGAAACATCCCTGATATTTGTTAACACTCTGGACTACAAACATACCTTCACAGAACGACTCATCACGATGCTTGTATCCTATTTGCTGCTAGCTCCTATTAATGCCGCTTTCTAATCGATGTTTTACTTATCACGTATTAACATGAAACAATTGTACGACATACCGTGGCAGCAAGTTGGATATGTTCAAGGGAAACGCACTATTCTCTATGTAATGTACTCAAACAATTGCTTTCCGTATATTTCCATACCGTAGACACGTTGCGTGAAATCCGTGAGAACGTTTACTATCAACGAATGTCCGTCTCTCTCTATTTTTCTTTTCCCCTATTTCCAAATTTCTCACATTATGTTTCCAAAATACGCTTTGTTGCGATCTGTGCATAGTTTTGCCGCATTGATATTCCGCAATTGAATCGATGTGATTTGCCTGTATGAAAAGAATGTCGCAAATTGTTGCAAGAGTATCAATGTACATATGAAGTAGAGAATATAGCGCCATACTTATAGCGACACGTAGTAGCATATGACTATGCCGCATCAACGAAACCTCGTTTCATACACGTGCATTATGAGACAAAAGAGGGAGAGCGTATTTTTTCCAGCCCGCAGTACAATTTTCAATTACATTTGCGTCCCTGTCGCTTACATCCCCACTGTCAGTAAACCAGCATTCGGATCTCGTTCATTTGAATTGCGATCGTTACAGTACGGTTACACGCCGCACGTCAAGGCGAATAATTCCGGCAATAAATATTTAGAACGCTTGCATTACCATAGAATCGATAATTAATGTTGCAGCGCATCATACGCATGATCTGTCATTAATTAGCTCAATGTTCATACGTCGTTGTCGTCGAGTTCATAAATACCGGACGCATCGCTCAAGATACGTCCGCTTGAAACTTACAGATAACCACTCATCATCGATATCAACGATTTGCATTAAAAAAGAGAAAGATTTTTTAAATAATAAAAAAAAAAGAATCCCTTTTCTACGCTACATTACCAGTCGAGTCAGCCCACGAGTTAATAGCTCCCGTTTCTTTTCACTCGCATAGTCTGTATGCTACGTACCGATCCAAAGCATCGTGTTCACCTCTGTCTCCGATCTGCCCGATCGAAACCGAATTGCCAGCATATAATAATCGGCTTAACCCTGTGATTCGATTTGTCTTGCAGAGTTTTCCACAAAGTGAAAAGCAGAAGTGCCCACATGAAATCCCACAGGCCAGTGCCCTCGCCCGATTCAACGGGACAGGAATCTAAGAGGCCTGTCCAGCAGCAGTCGAAGGCGCAGCAGCAGTCCCAACAATCGAGCCAACAACGTCAGCAGCAGCAACCACAGCAACAGCAGCAACAGCAGTCACAGCAGCAACAACCGAGCAGCGTGTCATCGCAGGCCCAAGACTACAATCAGCAGCAACTGCCTTCAAGCAACGGCGACACCAGCGCTCAGAATCCAGCGCATTTATGGCACAACCCGACCCGGCTCAGGCCACCATAGGACGATGCCCAGCCGGTTCAACTAAAGTTACCTTAACGAAGGCTGTAACGGTACGGTAGGAAAGTATTTTACGGTCGCGCGAACTACGTAAATAGGCACAGGCACTACTAAGAGAAAAGAAAATATATTAATCACGATCGTCGAAGGATCGTCGATGACCACGACGGAGGCGCGTGGAAACATAGATCAGTGGCCGCCACAACTGTGTCTCACTCACCCACGGTGTCGCACCTGAACGCTCCTGAACAGGCAGGCACGTTGACTGACGTTTAGGCGAGGTTAAACGAGCAAGGACACTTCCACGATAGATAATGTAGTTCCGTGAAGAATGAAACGAAGCCGAGTAGAAAGAGAAGAGGAGAAAAGCAAACGAATAAAAAGAAACGAGAATACCTCTTGTACGCGCTATGGACCTGAGCGAAGCGAAGCCCCGCGTGTTCTCTGCCAGGCCAGCCATACCTATATAAGTTAAACCTACGCGATCATACACAGGTGAGGAACGCGTGCACCCGGAAGACGACTCGCGAGGCGCCTCTATCGTCGTCGATTAATAGAAAGAAAGAAGAGACTCGGCCAAGACAGCCCTAGTTTTTAAAATGAAAGACCCAGCGAGAAGAGGAGAGATCGACCGATTGACGAAACGAGGATAGGGGTCCCTCGAGGACGTTACCTTCGCAGCCGTAGTCGAAGCTCTGTTCAACGAGGAGACAGGGTACCCCGGAAGTCCACCCTCTTTCATGTGAGAACGTGGGATGGATGAAAACAACGCGACAGTCCAGCAACGGCAGCGGCAACAGCGATCGGTTGGATTGTCGATGGGATAATAATCGAACGTGCAAGCTTTCCGTCTGATTTTCCTATTTTCTTTTTCTTTCATTTTTCGTTTCTTCGATTACGAACCGGAGGACACTGGAGGTGGACGAGAACGTCGTCGACGGAAACGAATGGCCTAGAGGAAAGCTCTTGTACACGAGCGACAACCAAGCCGGACGGTGTTTCGAGTCCTTTCCCTTTTTTCGATACTAGCAACTAAGCAGGGGCTAAAACTTCACTGGACGTGTTAGATAAGGGAATAATTAGCCACGATCAGTGCGCTCTAACGATTATCCGCGGTTCTCGATGTACCTATTATGGCTATATGCACGTGAAATGTTCCCAGGATTGTGCCACGAGACATTAACTGTTACCTGTTGCCTCTTTTTGTCATTTTTTCAACGTTTTAGACTACCTTTATGCGCCTTTCTTTTCCTTTCAACGATCTTTTACCTGTCTTCTTCTTTTCGATGACCGTGAACGGGATCGGCCTGCGAATCCAATCGGATTTAATTGCAAAATCAAATTGTACTCTCGTTTGAATATCTTTTGCAAATGTGATTCGAATTGGCAACGAAAATCGAAAAAAAAAAAATGAATCGAAATTGATCAAAGGTATGATTTAACGCCTCGCGAATATAGTCAAAATTCGTCTCTTTGATAAACGGACGATTCGCGAGCAGATCCCGTGATTCTAAAATGATGAACTCGACTTGTTGCACGTTCGCTCTAGTTCTACTTAGTTTAAAAAAAAAAAAGAATTACATTAGCGTATTTAAATGTGGATAAGTAAGCGATCACTTGTCAGAGAAACGTTCGTAGATTTGTTGAAGCTCCCCAAGATTTTTGTTACCTCTGTTACTTAATATATATAATATATATATATTAACTATATTTGTCAGAATAAATTTTAATATATATTATATATATATACATATTATACATATGTATAAACAGATCGATGTAATTTGAAGATGATTCGTAGCCTAGGCGAGATATAGTTCTCTATAGAAGGAAAAATTAAGAGAGAGAGAGAGAGAAAGAGAGAGACACGTTGTTCAAGTTTCACTTCGGCCCGCGATCGATCGTGTGCGATCGCGATCGAACTGTAACATAATTGATTATACATACAGCCATGAGTACATTATACATACGCGCACCGAACGCAGACACGTGGTTAGAGAGCGTTTATTTAAATGAATCGAGGTGAACAAAGAATTTAAAAGATGAATTAAGAAAATGAACGAAGAGAGGAAAGAGAAAAAGATGGATTATTATTCGACTAACACGATCGCGTTAGATCACCACTCTATGTGTACATAATCTGTGTACATGTCTGTACATAATTCTAAACGTCAGTGTCTGTATGTACAATTCGAATGAATTTTAACGCAAAAAAAAAAAATATACGTAGGCTAGGTTTTAGGTTGTTTTAGGAGGGATCTATATTATAAATAAAGTATATATACTTGGCTTGATTTTCTACCTTACTAGGGACTACGTGGCGAAATTCTTGAACGAGCGATAGCGCGTCGACCTGGGCATAAATTTCACGAATTTTTATCCTTTCGTTTCGAGCGATCGCGACGATGTTCCTGTATGTAAGGTGCCTTAAATGATTGTTTGCGTTGATTAGAAATTGTTACCATGCGGCCGTTGACACCACGTTGTTTCATTTTTATATTCTCGAACTCTATTCGATAGGTAGTACAAATGTAATTTAATTAACGGTTAATTATGTTAGCGATTATTTAGCGGTTATTATCGTTTAATTTACGTTTTACGTTGCCATATGAAATTCGGCCTACGCGGCGGAAATTCGATGTTGCTTGTTTTAGTTACGTTTTATTACGTTGTTTGCTTGTTTTGAGTGTATATACATAAATATATATATATAAATATAAATAAATAAATAAATATATATATATACAGGAACATCGTTTCCCCGGCGAAATTTTTGCACAATGTGAAAATGTGAGAAAACGAAAATGTAAATTTGGCGTTCACACCAGCTCCAATGGTGTACATCTCGTGTGAACCGGCCAAAAATCGTGCGCGTCCAATGGTCGACCCGCTCGTGATCGTCGCTCAAGCATTTACACGCCGATCGTAGCTGCTCTAACTCTACCTTAAAGATATTGTTATTGTTAACACTCTTCTTCTTATTAACTTTTACCATTAAAAGGAATAAAAAAAAATCACGATATACATTTTAACTTTTTAAACTTTTCACGTGTAAAAAGGGGAAAGAGCGAGAAAATGAGATGCAAGTGACTGAGGATGCTTTTAAAAGAATCTGCCAAGTTTTAGAGGAAACAAAGGGGAGAAAAGAGAGAGAGAGAGAGAGAGAGAGAGAGAGAAAAAGAATACGCAGAACGAAAGAAAGAGGATCCACGTAAACGATGGCTTTAAAAATTTTCCAATGTTGTTTTTAGTCCGAGATATGCGAGCGATGAATGTCGTAACGTTTGCAAAACCAGCGATTGCGTGCGAAAATAGAGAATGAGGAACGAGAGAGAGCGAGAGAGAAAGATCTGCGAAAAAGGAGCAAAAGCTTATGTTTGGCGTTCGGCATTCGTAAAGATTCGTTGGATTTTAAGCTTACGAGAGAATCGTCTGTCTCTTATGCGTGTGTGTCCTGTGTTTCTTCCACGTTTTCCCTTTCCAACCCTTTCAAACCCCTGACTCACCTATGAAAAGGAAAAAAAAAAAGAAAAAAGAAAGAAAGAAAAGAAAATGTGTAACGCGCTGTTCAAACGACAAACGTTCCGGCCACGCACCATTCGTTCATTTACAGACAAGAATTGCGTATCGATAGAGGAAAAAAGAGAGAAAAGACGTATGACCAAGGGCATCTGTCTATTCGAAAAGAAAAAAGAAAAAAATATCGTTTCTTAAAAAGAAAAAATATCGATCCGTGTTTCCGTATTTATATCGTTCCACGAACGACAGCATCGAACGACGTTTCGTTTCAGATAGATATTTTTCGATCGCATAATGCGTATATCATATCCGATAATAGTTAACAAGAAAACAAAACAGTATTTCGTCGTTCAACGTTCAAAGCGTTTCGCTGAGATTTTGTGCATTTATTTTTTAATCACGATTCTCACGGATAGCCTAAGGCCCATTGGCATACCTCTTTTACCACCATAGAGGAACACACGATTTTGTAAACTCTGAGTGAACGGCCTCCAGTAAAGGCGAAAGACGAAGAGAGAGAGAGAGAGAGAGAGAGAGAGAGAGAGAGCGAGAGCGAGAGAGAGAGAGCTAAATCGAATAAGAACGTAATCCTAGAAATCTATAATTAACTATACTAACTAAGATCCTAGGTGATTCGAATCTTAAAAATAAGTTCATTTAAGGTGTAAAACTGTTATATGAATTCCGACCACAGGTTCGGTGCATAAGTCGAATGCAACAAAATTAGCAGACATATCATTTAAGACAATACACTTGTTACAGAAACTACGTTTCTACTAATGTAATTCTTATTATATGTATGTAATCTAACTCTTAATCGGACTTAGAGAGATTCGAGGTGAAACACAACGTAGTTAGTGGTAAAAAAAAAAAAAATATGGAAGGTGGAAGAAAGAGGTTGAGGGAGGGGTGGAAGGCAGCGTTCGAGGAATTACCATCGAAATCAAATCCAGAGGTTAGGATTCATTGCTGAAATAAATTTCATCGAATATTTCGATAATTTCTGAACCGAATAATTTTTATAACAATTCCGTCATGAATTTATGAATAAATGAAGTAACGATGTACTTAAGATTAATTAGATAAGATCGCGTACTTAATTAAATTTAATTCGTTCATCTTTCATTCTCTCTCGTTACAAATGCAAATATTGTAATATACGAAGCTTAAGATACTCTGGATTTGTGATCGACACGAACGCAATGAACAATTCTGGAGGCTGATTACTCAGAACTCGGGGAAAGGTACGATAAAACGAAGCAATGAAACAGTAACGAAGATATGCATGAATTGTACAAACGAGTCCCTCCACGTCACAAAAAAAGAATGATATATATATATATAGATATATATATATATATCTATATGGAGAATATATATATAACAAAAAAAAAAAAAACGATAAATATGTGATGTATTTAAATGGTATGTGGTATATGGTATTACATATTTGTACATAGGCGGACCCGTGCCATCAACTAGTGAGTTGTACCGATATTGTACTGCCATTAGTCGAGTTAGCGGATAACATCGAGTGAATGAGAGATAGATTAACGACGAAACGGTTTACGTTCCAACGAATGAAATTTTTGTTTCGACGATAAAAGCGTGCCAGGCGAACCGGACGCGTAGCGAATTCGAATTCGGCGATTAATTTTTCATCCGACGTGACCATCCGGACCGAGTGAAATTTATTTTTAGCGAGCGTTTTCTTTGTTAGGTAAGCACCGAATCGTAGTTTAATTTTCAAACGGTAGACGAAATCGTTGCACATTTATTTAACGTTGTACTCAACGTTACGGATGAATTATCCAAACCCGTTCCAAAATGCGTAGTCGGAATTTTCTTACAAAACATGTTGATCAATTTTGAAGCTTCAACGATAACTGGAAAATATCGTGAGATACGTTGATATTTATCGATATGTTGATACATATATACAATGCATGTTACGTTCGTAGTTAATTTAAAGCGCGAAACAGACCAATACAAACGCAGTGCCCTCGATTCTGTCGTTACCATTGCTCATTGGAGACTTGATTAATTTTCGATTAGTCGAATTTGATCGATATTTATTGCACGCCATAACTAGTGCGTTTACGAACACGAAGATGTCATGGCGAAACGAATCGAAGCAGATGGCGAGGTTATGTTGCGAAATATATTGGTACAACTCGGCGAAGAAAGTGTAGCGTGGTTATACACCTGAGGAATGTGCTCAAAATACTGTATTAAAGAGAAAAAAAAGTCTACTAAATGATCATCAACGTTTATGCAAGAAAAAAAACTACTCTTAAACAAGTGAAAAGTTATTTATTGGATTATATTGATATCGTAATCTATCGTCCTCTTACCTATTACCTACTTTAATGTCTATCTCTATACGCCAGCATGGTTCTTTATACTCTTCTATTCGATGTTAATACTATTCTCTATTATAACTTTTACTACGACGGTGAAACAAAACGAATTGTATTGTTAATAGTGTTTTTAATGTATTCGAAACATGGTCAGCTGTAGGAGAGCCACGGATACGTAATGTCGCGTTTCACATGAGAACTGGTCGACTCTATTCGATACACGCACTGATGAACTAAGTGAAAGAGAAAAAGAAACGAGGAAACAGCGAGGAAAGAAATTCATAAAACGCGAAGCATTGGGAATCTTTGATCTCGTTCGCACAAACGCATCGTCGTTCCTGTATCCTTTTCGTCTGGCAACTAAGTAAGGTTAGATTTGTTCGAACTGTCAAACTCTATCCCGAAACTGTTCGATTTTTGTTCGCAAGACACAAACGCGACCTTTCGATTCTTCTTATTCAAAGATCCCTTCTTCTAAAGTTGTACAATCTCTCGACATAACCTAGTTTTTGCTGCCGTGATAATCGCGATGGAATCGTACGGGAAAATCATACGGGGAACGTTAGGGCAGCAAGGTCCAGAGTATTCATGTGACACGGACATTTTCTATCGCACGGTTATTATCGCAATAATTACGATAGAGTGAAAGAAGAAACGTGTGCTCGGTAGCAATATCGGTGTGGACGTGTCCGCACTGTCATTGTTTTTTCCACTTCTCTGCTCAACTAGTTCTTACCTGTAAGGCGTAGCTGTATACATTAAATATCCTCGTCACGTTAGTCTTTTAAACGAAACGGCAAAACGAAGAAAAGAAAAAAAAAACATCGTTCTCTCTCCGACTCTTGTATCGTCTTTTGCTCAAAACTCGCGGGAAAGGAAATGTTATTAAAGGAACACGTGGCCGGTGATTAGCCGGCGGAAAGCGCGAACCACAGACGAACCTCTCGTAATAATACGACGGAAAGAACAAACATTTGCAATGATATCGCTCAAAAGTTCGTGCCATAAGCAATATGGACAATATATTATTAATTGTGTTAGATGACGTGTGCGCTAACTACAGCTGGCCGAATGACAGGTTCCGTTTTAAAGGAATCTGCAGACGAAGCGTCACGTGATCGCCCCTACCGGGCATTCTATTATCCTTCCTTGTCGAACATTCGAACAGACGATTCTATTCACGCGTGCACTTTGTTTTCGACGAATTCTCATCGCTCGTCGAGCTCTTTATTCGTCGAATAGGCTACTTCGACTAATTCTATTGGCTCTTCCAACTTTAAGGATTCGTTTCGACTGCACTCTCGATCGCAGTTCGAGTTTCCATGCTATACAATCAGCTCGCCGAGAGACGATCACGTGACGCTGCTTTCTACACACTTACACGCAGTTCAGTCAATTTGAAGCGCGATGTGGTAACGAGTCGCCAACGAAAATCGACAGGCCTATATCGATCGACTTTCTCCTCGAATTTATTTCGATTCACGAGGAGAGGAACGAAAGACCCCACAGGAGGCCTCGAAAACCCCCCACTAGCGACTCCGCCACATTGGTCTTCGGCCAAGGAAGACGGCACAAACGTCACGGCTGATCCTGTAAAGATCGAACGCGCGATTCCGTCGACTCGCTTTCGCCATTGCGAGTCGTACACCACGTGACGTCCACTTTTCCCATTACACGGCCTCGTGAAAATTTCGATCACTGTGTTGGAACGTCTTTAGTCTGTCTGGTAGCCAACCATGTAACCGCTTGCTTTTTCGTACATTTTAACGAAGTTTTAACGAAGTCTCTGACCGAGGTGCTACGACGTTCGTGCGTGAAGTCGATCGTAAGACGAATCGAGAGTCTGGGGACGTGCGTGCGCGATCTTAACCTCGTCGACGAGAATCAAAAGAGCTCGGGGTCCGGCGAAAGCATCGAGCAGGTGAAGACAAGTATGCACGATATGAGAACGTATAATACATCGACAATGACAGGAGATACGAAAGAGAGAATAGGCTTAGCCGGGGCGACGAGCTTCTGTGCATCAGTATTACGTTCGAAGAGCGATACTAATATACATTGGTCTAGTGATTATACATTATATTGCGTACGTAACGATTTTATTTAATATACACATATTGGATATGAAAGAGCGGTATTATTATTATTAACTATTAATTATTAATTAATATATATACGTATGTGTGAATATATATAATTGTATGTATATACGTATAGAGATACCTGTACATGTACGAATATATATATTTACATATATATATGTATGGGCGCTGATTATGTGCAGGGAGTAGGAAGCGAAGGCGCGCTTCGCGATAGGTCGCGGTTTAAATCTCGATGTTGTTCGTTCAGATGAAACAATACAAAAGAAAAAAAAAAAAATCTCGACGAAGAGAGACACGATGAGAACAGCCCACGCTGCAGAATCGTGAGCGATGGGACTTCGGTAACGCGTTCGGAATTTCGGACGAAGCACAAGCTCCCGGGGAGGCTTTGGGAACGAGGTGATCGGTCACTTCGTTAGCTCGATCTCGCACTCGCGCGTGTAAAACACTCGTACGTGACGTAGATCACGCGCGAAACGATCTCGTGTTGCGATCTCGTGATCTCGTGTTCGTTCATGTCCCTGTTATCGATCTCGCGATATCTGCGACGACGACGCCTCGCCACGAGTGATCCTCGATCGATTCCTGGCGACGCAATCGTCGGCCATCGTCGAGCCGTCGGTCCGTGATCGTTGAATGTACGACGACGGGGAAATCGAATCGG